ATTTCGTCACTTCCGTCCGCCATTGTTTTGTAGAAAGGGAACCTCAGCACGTATTTTGTCGGGAGTGTCCAGACTTTTGCATCACAGCTAAATCGCTTGACCCCGCTTTATGGCTTATAGAGCGAGAAATACTATATTTGAAGCGCGCTTTTTGTGGTTTATAGCTAATAGAACGACGAATGTTACATTTGAAGCGCGCTTGTTGTGGCTTATGGCTTATAGAGCGAGGAATGTTACATTTGGAGCGCGCTTGTTGTGGTTTAAGCTTATAGAACGAGGAATGTTACATTTCAAGCGCGCTTCTTGTGGTTGTTTACGGCTCATAGAACGAGGGACGTTACATTTGAAGCGCGCTTGTTTTGGTTTATGGCTTTTAGAACGAGGAATGTTACATTCGGAGCGCGCTTGCTTTACTATACGGCTTATAGAACGAGGAATGTTACATTTGGAGCGCGCTTCTTGTGGTTTATGGCTTATAGAACGAGGAATGTTACATTTGAAGCGCGCTTGCTTTAGTATATAGTTTATAGAACGAGAAATATTATATTTGAAGCGCGCTTCTTGTGGTTTATGGCTTATAGAACGAGGAATATTACTGTGGGAGCGTGCTTGTTTCGCTTTATGGCTTATATAGCTTATATAACGAGGAATAAATACGGTCCGTATCAATCAAGCACACGGACCGTTACGATTCGTACGGATCGTACGGACCGTACGAGCCGACAACACACTGTGCCCTGATGGCACATGTAAATGCGCGCTCTGCATGTACTCAGAATACGGACCGTTAGCAACTCTGACGGTTTGTACGGAGCGTACGATCCGTCAACTGCTCTTAGCATTCGGACCGTTACGATTCGTACCGATCGTACGGACCGTACGAACCGTAATACACTCTGCTCTGATGTCATAATGAGATGCACGCTCCGTATGTGCTCAGAATACGGACCGTTAGCAACGCTGACGGTTTGTACGGAGCGCACGATCCGTCAACTGCTCTTAACGGTCCGTAACAGTGCGACAGTATTGGACATGACCATTTTTTGCCCTTTTAGCACCAAAAATCCAGCCTTCCAGGGGGCATTTTGAAAGCGTGTTAAGACCCCAATGGTAAATTGTACTGCCAAATGAATTTGACCATGAATTCTACTATAATAGAGCTTTCACCTCATGCATGTAACTTTGTCCTCAAGGTATTACACAGAGAGGAGCCTGGGGCTAGAGTTTGGTCAAAATTGATGTTAAAATTACAACCCAAAATAGCCATTTTTTAAAATTTCACTATATTCACCTGCCTTCTTGCATGACTTCCATACCTATACCACTGTTTACTTTAGTCACCCAATTATCAAAATCAGTTGAGAAAAATTTGGCTTATTATGGTTTATTGAATTTTTGGAAAAAACACTTCCTGCCCCTCTAAGGCGATGCAAAATGGAATTTTGAGCAAAATTCAGGCCATAAACAAACCAAATTGTTGACAAGAAGCCCTTACTATGTATTTGGTAAGTGAAAATGAATTCTCAAAGCCAAATCAGTTTCGTTGTTTAGAAATACACCCATTCTTACCTTTAAATTGATCTAAAACAGGCCTCTGATTAGCACAAAAAGCACATGATTTTGCAAAACAAAGGTGATTTTATTCTTTGAAAACCTAGTAACCACCATAGAACGCAAATGATGATGTTCTGACGTTGCCTAGTCCCTAGGCCTCATTATTATGCGCGGCCGATGCGTTTCGGGTCACGTGGTCCGAGAAAGTTTTATCGCATTAAACTAATTTGAACTTTATTTCATCTCAAAAACTATTGTAGGCTAAGTAAAACAGCGTCGCAAAAAATTATTTGATCAAGAATCGGAAGGTAAGCTAAAGAAATATTCTTGGATATGAAAAGCCATCTTTCGTTTCTCTATTTTCGCTTGCTCCTATAAATTTCTCGTTATCATTTCACTTCGAAATATTTTATGTAGTTTAATTTTTGGATTTGGAAGCTTATCAAACTAATCGGACAGGCTGTTGAATTTGGTCTTTAAATCTGGTAGAATGTCAACAAACTACTGTCTCAAATCTTTTTATCAATAAAGAAATATCATTTTAATAGCTCATTTGAAAATGAACTAAAAGAGAAATTACTTGCACGTTATACAGTAGTATTCTTTCCGATTCAAAGTAATATTTTTGTTCTTTGATAACAAACCAGGTTGGTGCAGATCTTTCAGCGAAGGATATTCACGCGCAAAGTTATTTATAGATTATTTCAGTTGAACGTGGGAACTTTTCAAAAATGCTCACGCATGCGCACTCCGAGATTGTCTAGGCGTCTCCCGGCCGTTCGTCTCGGATACGTCACCTAAATGCATTGACCGAGAGGGCCTGAAAAGACGCCGTACAGGGACTAGGCAAGTTCTGACGCAGATATAGCGATCTTTTTACAAGATGCCTTAATTTTTCTTTGATTTATATTTAGTTTCACGTCATATTTCTAAGCATTACTCCAAACATGGAAAATCTCCATATTTAACATGCCAGTGCCTAACAAATACACTGGGGCGTTAATTTGCCTGTATCTAACAATTACACTGGGGCATTAATTTGCTTGTGCCTAACAAATGCACTGAGGCATTAATTTGCCTGTGTCTATAACAAATACACTGGGACATTAATTTGCCTCTGTTTGACAAATGCAATGCGGCATTAATTTTCCTATATTTAACAAATACACTGAGACATTAATTTGCTTGTGCCTAACACTAGCCCGTACGAAACTTGCAGCGCTGTACAGCGCCACAAAATCGCTTCAAAATAGCTGTACAGCTAAATTACAGCTGTTTAGCAGCATTTTAGAAGCCAAACAGCAGCTTAATTCAAGTTGCAGCGGGATGCAAAAGCGTTGTGCATCCTTGGCTGTGTATAAAAGTGGGATGGGGACAAGGGGACATTGGGATGCGTGTGTGGGGACTTGGGGACGCGAGACAAAGGACTTGCAGGGGACAGCAAGTATGGGACGCGGAGACATGTGGGACGGGGACGCGGGACGTTAAATACAAGGATGTGGGGACATCAAATACAGGGACGGAGGGGATGTGAATGATTATTGCAAAAATCAGAGTTAAATGCGATATCTCTTTCTTCGTGGAAATGTGTTATTTATTGTCAACATCAGATTCCATCGTCCAGAACCACATTAGACATCTTATGATGTTTACACAAAATATTTCCTTATATAGGAGTAAGCGCACTGACTATCGTGATTCAGGGGGTAAGCACTGTTAACAAGCATTTACTGTTAGGTTTGCCACTAAAAATATGTAAAAAAAATAAAATATTGTTACAATAGTTGAATCCCCTGTGGTGTAGTGGTACAGGCGATGGATTTCGGAGCTAGCATTTCGGGGTTCGAAGCTCGCTTATTCCACTTAATTTAGTCTTCTTTTTAATTTATATGGAATCGAATGCTATTATTCTGTATAAATTTTGGCGACCGCAACCCACCCTACCCTGCTTAGGGCTCCAATCAGGGCTCCAATCAGGGCTCCAATATTCCTTCAGCAAGAAGACCAGTGCAGTAGTTTCACTTTCTTCAATGCAGGGGGTCTTCGCCGAGTCTTCGTAAACAGTCATGGAGGATCGAGGATTGAGACTGTAAGCTTTTACTGCTTTTGCTTTGATAATCCCGCAACCCTTGCACATCCCCGACTATAATATACAGAAGTTTTAGGTTCAGAAATGTCTTTTGCTAAACCGAGCGTTATATTGTAGTCTTTGTACTCAGATTTTGAAAAGATATCTCGACATTATTAGTTTACAAGATTCAAGCAAGGATGTGTTAGGATTTTAGTCATAATCGAGACAAACGCAGCATAACCTTGCGTGGAAGAAAGTGAAACCAATGTCTAAGTCTCCTTGCTGTAATATTGGAACCATAAGGTGGGTAGGGTGAGCTGCGTTCACCAAAACATATTCGCGAGGAAAGTGACTGATATCGCATTTAACTCCGACTTTTGCAATAATCATTCACATCCCCTACGTCCCTGTATTTGACGTCCCGCGTCCCTATCCCACAAGTCCCCGCGTCGCATAATTGATGTCCCCAAGTCATTCCTCTCGCGTCCCCAAGTCCCCACACATGCGTCCCAATGTCCCCGTCCCAATTTTATACACAGCTTCTTTTTCTGGTAAGAGTATTCAGAAACATCCTGATTCCCTGTAAGTGAACTTTGATTCTGATTTTCGTGAGCTGTTTGGTAGGAACAAAGGGATCATGTGCCCACCCACACAGCACTGGTGCGTTTCTCAACACTGAGTGAGCCATGGGCTAGGCCACTTACTCTTTGGCCCCTACCTTTTGTTTTTGGTGTTTACTCGACAATGTTAAAGATTGAAAGCAAGCTTGCCCACGCAATTTCACGTGATCCCTTCGTTCCTACGCAACGGCTCAGGGAATCAAAATCAAACTTCACTTACGGGTAAGCTCGTTTAATTTTTTATTTCAAGTACAGTATTAAAATAATCAACGAAATGGTTTTATATAGTGCAGGTCTGTAACTTTACGCCAGATTTTCGATTTCCCGCCATCAGATTTGATGCGCCCATGCATGCACATGCAAAATGTCCTCCTGTTGTCCAAGAGGAAAATTTCTCCAGCAGATTTGATGGGTCATGCAGGCGTGAAAAATACCTAGTGCGGCGCGCTGTCCTGTGAAAAACTTCGGAAAATGGGCCGCGAAAACTCCTTGATTAATGATATACTTAAAAAAAATTATATTGGCTCTTTTGGAGCCGTTTTTTTTATTTTATTATTATTATTATTTTATTTCTTTCTGGAAAAAAAATTACGTTTACGGTGAGTTTTTTCTTACTGTACTGCATCTAGTCCGCCAAAAATATGGCCCCGTTTGCCAGAAAGACATAGCGGACATTGGACAATAAAGAAAATGATAATAAGAGAACTTCTGGCTAATACGAATAGTATTGCCTTTAACTATGAATATTTATATATCTTTCCTATTTTTTATTATAGTATTACTATGATTATTGGCCTTCTTAAAATTACCTTGGAAGTGATATTATCAACTCCTTAGAGTCGCACAATTTTTAAAACAAACCACCAAAAATACAGAATAAAGTAAATTGACAGTTACGGGATAAAGATCCAAGATGTAAGCTAGTTATAAACAAAGGCTGAACTCCTCGGCAAGCATCCGGTTCAGATCGAGATCTATGATCACTCCGGATCTTAGCACACTAAATGAATCGGGAATTTCGGTTAAGTTTCCATAACACGAGCGAAATGGCAGCTTAAACACTGAGGTGAATGTTTGTGTACACAGCATTTGTATTTCTTTAAAATCTCGCCCATCTCACTTAAGTCCTATCAAAATCACTGAATAGATTTTTTTTTTTCGATTACATGAATACATGTAAAAAGTAGCCAAACATTGTAAGGAGGGAAGCACTATGCAACGCCAAAACCGATATCCACAGCATTTGATACCGGATCCATTTGTTTATAGGAAAGTGCTGTACCGATCAAGATCTACTCAATTAGTTCGGTTCGATATCACCAATCTGAAAAAGGATTCATCGTTTGAAGGAAGGTGACAGTTCAAAATTCTGCTCCGGATCCTCCCAAAGAATTTCCTAAGCATCAGGACCTAATATTGCTAAATCTGAGGTAGATCTATTCTGTACATTTGTTTTCATGGCCATACATTTACAATTAATTAAGCCTACTCAAATATATGAATAGAAAATGTGAAATCTCCAAAGTATATTTTTCGTAAATGTAGTTAGACTTCTAGTTACTTTGACACGGGACCGACCTTGTTTGCAAATTGGCCATTAAGAATAACCCCTCTGTTAAAAAAAGAAAAAACCACTGCCATTGTTTACAACAGTATCATTTCATCACAAATTTCTTGGCATCATGACGACAATAATGAAAGGGAATGGTTAACGTAAAAGTAAGGTGTATCGAGTGTGCGTCAGTTTACCAGTTTTCTTTCTCCTTTTTCTCTTGCTACCCTTTGACAACTGCTTTAATATTGTAGTAGGACTTGTCGTCTACAACAGGCAGAATCAGTGTTATCTGAGCTTTACCCTTACTCCTTAGCATCTAAATGCAAACTCAGATCTTCGGATTTTGAGGAATAGGAAACAGACGCTCTGGTTGATTTTGGCTTTGGTTTAGGCTTGACTGGGGGCTTGTCGGAGTAGCTTCTGGGTCGTCGTTCCGATGGTACCGTTTTCTTTGGTGGCGGCGTTGGTGGGCAGGAATCACTGCGCGAGTGTACAGCTCCTTTGCCTTTTAGCTCTTTTAGAACTGCCAAAGCATCGCTAGCTGTCATTCTTTTGCCTGGACTTTCTTCCCAGCAGGACTCCATGACTCTTATCCATGATGGAGAAGGCTTCGATGTTTTATCGAGATGACAAGGTCGAAGTCCATCTTTTACATCTTGGAGCAGCTTGGATTGGTGTCTACTGACCACCGCATCAGCAAACACTCTCTCCCCGTACCACAACTCCCATAGTACAAAAGCAAAGCTATACATATCTGCTCTGCTGTTGTAGATTCGACCCTCTAAGACTTCAGGAGCGAGATACAGGGACGTGCCGCAAATGGTACCAGTGATATCCTCCTCATATTTTCCCACTCCCACGTCTGCCAGCTTTACTTTTCCATCGTGTGTCAACTTTAAAAAATAAGTTAAACATAACCACAACGTTTGAACTTAATATATAATATAAATGTGATTTCATTAACCATTCATGATTTCAAAGGAAAGTACTGTTCTAGACAGGCCAAGCTTAACGGTTAAGGTCATGTTTGTGTCGTAAGATCTTTGCTCCAAGTTTAATAGCGGGGCTCCCGCGCGCGCGAAGCGCGCGTGGGACAGAGCCCCATACTCATGGAATATGGTCAACCTCTTTTCGTTTGGTTGTCACGTGATTGACCGAGCGTACGTACGTACGTACGTACGTACATACGTACGTACGCGTCTACAGATTGTACGGGTGGGGTAGGGAAGACTATCAAAAGGAAGGGAGGGGTGTCTCAGGGGTGTGTTGGCAAGTCCACATCTTTAATATAGGATGATTTAGTATAGGACATTCACAATATGGTCAATTGACAGCTGTCAAAACAGGATTGCCACTGACCAGTATCCCATGAGCATATCGTGGGCTCATGTGTCAACTCATCGAGGTGACGTGATTTATTTGGAAGCTGTCCGCTGACCAGTTAATTGTTTTACTAGATCGCGAACAATGTTCAATCTCTAACTAGTTAAACTGATAATGCACACATATTTGACATCAATATTTTGATCAATTGACAGCTGTCAAAACAGGGTACCCGCTGACCAGTATCACTTGACCGTATCGCGGGCTCAGGTGTCGACCCATCGAGGTCAAGTATTTTTTTGAAGTTATCCGCTGACAAGTTACTAATTTTAAAGTGATCGCAGGCTCAAGTTCATTTTTTTTTCTAAATTCATATGAAATAATTATGTTGTGCTTATGTGCTACACAATTAAAATTTTGATTGCAAACTGACCTCGGACGCGAAAATTCAGCCAGCTGTTACAGGCAGGGAAGACAGTTGGTTTTGACTTTTCTCACCATGGTCACGCGTTGGTCACGCTCTACGTCCAATTTTTATGCTCTGATTGGTCAAAATTTGACAGGTGAGTTCATGCGGAAAATTTATGCAGCATCTTGAATCTTGTTTACTTTGACAGCTGAAGCTGACAGAGTTTTGTGTCAACTTGTGATGTTTTTAACTGTCTTTTTCCACTGGATGTGCAAAATGAAATTCAGCTGCTATCAGGAGTCTTCTGTTATTCATGGCTAGTTTGTTTATTGGGTTTTTGGTTGAGGAATACGTCGCTTGTCAAAGTCGGAAATCCGATTTCGGATGGCATCGTTTTCGTTTTCACCTTGCTTGATGCGTAAGAGGATTGCAAAGTCTGAAGCGATACTGGCTTTTCTTGATACCTTTCAGGAGCTGCATCTCGAATGGTAAGCCAGAGAAATTATTGCATTTGATGTTTGTTTTTGTATCTAATTTAATGAAGTCGAGCGTAGTTTATGCGGGTATTTAGTTTATGCACGTTTGTAAGATTTGAGACAATGATCTGACCGAGTATCAGGTTTGATATAAGCTTACAGAACTTTAAAAAGCCTTTAGACAGTTTCTCACCGCAAATAGAAAGAAAACGTTCCAAAGAATATTTAGTTATAATTCTGGCCGGAAAAGAAAGCTTTGAGCGATTTTCTTGCCTCGAGTTCGTCTTTGAAAAAAGCAAACACCGGGAAGCCGGCTTAAAACATAAACTTAAGCTTGAAGCTTGAAGACTCAGGATTTTTAGGGACACTTTAATACTTGTCTTCCTGAATGAAATTGTTGTCTCTGTATATGTTTCATCGAATTATATTTCTTTTATTGATTGTTAGTAGTCTCTCTTGTAATTTTAATCGCTGTGCCGATTGTTTTCAGTCGTTCAGTGAACATCGCTTGCAGGAGTTATTTAACTCAAAATGCCGCGCGTAACTCTGTCAAACACTCGCCACAGCTCACACTACAAAAGTGAGAACCGGATGGCCGTATAGGTGATTTTGGAAATTTTTTTAACAGTTTATGAATATTGAATGAGTGCAATTTGTATTGTGAAATACTGCTTTCAGTCCGAGGTCTGCCGGTATGATAAAAACAGTGCCTCATACTACCGTTTCACCTCAGATGTGATGTATAAATGGTATAAAAGGACTTGGTTTACACGCACCCAGATTTGTTGACAAGATTTTGCAAAGTAAACTTGTCGAACGCAAAAAAGTTGGCCTGATTTTTTTTCCACTAATTAATCTACGGTGATCAAGAGCCATTATGGCTCTTAAAGGTGATCGAAGATGATTACCAGTTTTTAAGTGTACATATGAAGCTATCAACTCAATGTAAGATTTGGTTCACTCTTGGGCTGTTTACAAATTATTTTTCTCTAAAATCAGGTAGCCTTTCCCTCAAAAGTCACATAAATGTGCTCTAAAGTTAACTGAATTGTGGAATTCGAATACAAGTTTATTGTTTAATTTAAATTATAAATTTATTAATGGGAGCCTCGCTTTTAGCCCTGGCTAAATCTATATATTAGCCTTTCCGTCGTGAGTTAAGGTGTTAAATAAGTGTAAAGCCAGTGACGAAAAATCGACCATTACCCTGTTCCCTGTTCATATATATGATTATCTTCCTTATGAATAAGGGTGCGCTTCTTCCGAGATCAGATCAAAAATCCGGATTATTAGGATTTTTCGTTATGAAAAGAAACGATGTATCAAAAAAGGATTACTGTGAAACCTCTATTAAGCGGAAACCTTCGGGACCAATTCCCAAGGTTGTCCGCGCCGCTTGATGAAGGTTTGTAAAGATTGCGCAATGTTTGTTAACGACTAACATTTAACAGTTGCTCTGTTCTGCGATAAAGTATCATGTTGTCAAGGAAGCTAAGGAAGCTGTGCTGTACTTTGTGCAAGACTTTGATCGCGGATGATAACGGCCGGATGTATCGGTCTAATCTACAGTTTATTGAAAGTTAAATGTATTGATTTATCTCTATTAATCGACTACAATACGTATTTCAAGGACGTAATCCAATACTACTATTAATTCAGTCGGGTGTTCGCTGAATAGGGGTTCGTTATAAAGGGAAATATAAGACGTTAATTGGTGTCCGTTTGAGGGTGTCCGCTTAATTGGGTGTCCGCTTAACAGAGGTTTCACTGTATTTTCATTCATTTCCATAGAAACGACTCACACTATCGACGGTGTCCTGGACAAAGAATAACGTGGCTGCTGATAATGTTGCAGATTTGCTCATCTTTCTTTGTATTCTGGAAGGTTATCTCAAGTATACTGCTTCAGAAGGGCCAAGTGAAGAACAGTCTTGAAATTAAATAAGATCTACTGGAAAAGTAAAGTAATGCCAAACGCCCCGGCGAAGTTGTGTAGCAGTTTTGTCTCGATTTGTCCTTGTGAAGTAGCGACAATGCAGGTCCTGTTTGTATTGCGATTTTACCATCCCGATAAAAGGTTTAATGCCTGGTTCAATCCATGCGTCGACTTAAAAATGGCCATAAAGATGAATAGTGTTGTCAAACAGCTGCTGTATGTATAAAAATTGTTTCGAGTTACCGCTGGCTGTATTCACTCTTTTCGAATCCGTAGTAAGGAAACGCTTCGGATCATGTATCCAAAGTATTCCGTTTTGGATATGATCCAAAGAATCCACCTCCGTTGTGGATCGTTTGGATCAATTATGTGTTTTCTGTATTTTAATAAAGAAACGAATTGTCCGTTTTTGGATTAAAATCCGGATTTGGATTTTAGTAAAGAAACGCACCTTTAATGTGGTATAATAACTAACTTACCAGCAAATTATCCAGTTTTAAATCTCTGTGTACAAATCCTTCTCCGTGAATGTAGCGCAAGGAATCCAAGACCTGCAGAGCCCAGTTTAAAATCTTGTTCCTTATTGGTTGACTGAGAAGTCTAGCAGGGGCATTCTCTGGATGGGAAGTTACCAGTTCTCTGAGGGAGCAGTCACACAGTTCCAAAACAATCATTACTGTAGTGCCATTTGTTTCGTGCAGAAGGCAGGTTCCAAAATATTTTACGATGCCAGGATGTTGCAACTCTCTTTAAAAAAAGTAAACCAAGATAGTGAAACAATTCTGTTCAATTTCATGGACACACAAAAAAAACTTTAGTTAGGCACATATACTTTGAACAGTCTTTAGTAGCATGGGCCTATAATTCATTGCTAGCAGTGTATGAGTAGGTTTTTCATTCAACCGAGTAGCTAAGCTGCCTTGGCTTAATTTTTCCCACAAGTTTTTTTTAACAAAAGAAGTGTAAGGAAAGAACGAGCTGGTTTCTAATAGCGCGAAGAAAAGAACTTTTTTATTTTTTATTTTTTACTTGCTTAGAAGCATTTCACAATAAATAACTCGAAAGGAAAATAAATAAACGTCTGAAGTTTTGAAGAGGGTTGACTTACGCCTAAGATTGGAGAGGGCTCCAGAAACGGAGCACTACAAGAATTAGCCCCAGGGTCATAGGAAAAGGGTTATTTTCGACATTGATCGCCACCCAAATTACGCCTGCGAAAAACAATTGGTTAGCTAAAGGTTACGGAGTGGTAATTTTCGTTTTTTGCGATTGTTTGAAACAAACCTTAACGCTTTTTCTTCATCGACAAAATGCCAAACGTTGCTGGTACTCAGTGGATGTATATACTCTTTTATGGCCACTTTCACTTCCGGTTTTCCACTCTGAGTAAGGATTCCTCTGTACACTGTCGAGAAATTTCCTCTTCCTATGATTGACTGGCGATTTTCATCCCATTTTAACTCATCCCTGGTAAAGTCCGACTTTCTCATTTCTGTGAGACTAAAAACGGTTAGCTCGCGCCTCAGGAATTCTGCCTCCATAGCCAAAGGTTCGTAGATTTGGCTAATCTCACTCTTAGTTCTGTCATCAACAAGTAGCTTCTGGTAAAACTTGTTGTCACATTCCAGTAGCCTGGGCATTTTATCCTTGAGTTGTTTCAGGCACTGAACGGCATCTTCCAGCTGTTCGTTGATGAGGGGCAATAATCGACCTTCAGTAGCAATCATCGCTAGGCATTTCTTTGATCTCTTTGACATGTAGGCAGACGGGTCTTCTTTGTACTTCTCCCGTTTACCTTTATAATGGAACGTCTTCTTGACAGTCTTGTACAAGCCAAGTGTTTTGATTGGAGATCCTACAATCACGGGCGCTAAGCCTTGTCTAAGCCACATTGGAGCACTACCCTTAGACACTTTCCGTGATTTTGCTTGAGAATGTGTTTGAGTTGCACTTTCGTCCTGCGTCGTAACGTCTATGTCGTCTGCGTCCAAAAAGACGTATTCTCCCACTTGATGAATTTCTCCTTCCATGATATCGTACTTTTCACAGCAAAATTTAGCAAGTGAAACCTGAGCACTCGCAAATTCGTGCGTTTCGTCCTCCCACTCCTGGACAAACTGCTGGGTTCTCTTTGAAATGCATTTTAAAACTTCATCCTTCGTCAGCTGCCAAGTTTCTTTCACCTTAGGAGCCTCATTAGGAGACCATTTACAAAAGTTATCGACCGTCTCTTCGGATTTGAAGTACTCTGACAGCTTTGCAATGATATCTTCTAGGATCTCTAACTGATATTTACTAAGCTCATCAAATTTACGCTGCTGAGATTCTTGCAGTTCTTGCATCCGCTTCTTTACCTTTGAAATTTTTTCCTTTGTTTCTTCGTGGGACAGCTCTGTGGTCTTAAGAAATATTTTAACTTGACGGGAGACATGAAAAAGGACTTCCTCCAGCCATCTGTTGAATAATGGCAAGGAAAATAAATTCGTTAGTTCGCTGTCGATTCGATCCTAGGGGTGGTTTATGCCATATATGATAGTCAATGAAAGGGATCGGAGGCAAGAACAATTTTAATTGAGTTTAAATTTCACGATCTTCTTAGCTCATTATGGATAATTAATGAATATTTCTTTATTACACCAGAAGAAAACGTCATCACTATACGGATATAATACACGTACCATTTTGGTTTAAAAAGTAGTTGTTTTCAAAGGGCTATTACACTTACAATGTCGGCCAGAAATGTGTACAGTCACAAACATCAGTGTTTTTTTTATCAATAGGCCATAAGTAAACACTTTCCTCATCACATATCAAACTATGCATCATCATTTCTAATTGAGTTTACCATATACTAGTCCCTTTGCATGCCTGTGAAAAATTTACACGCTTTTGCATTTTTTCCCACTAAATTCAAGTTTGCAAAACCCTGTACTGTTTGAAAAGTGAGGTGATCAACGAATTTTAGGCTACAACTTCTTTTTATTAAGTCTCGATGTAGTGACAGACGACCAATAACATCGCGACTTCATCATGACCAATCAGGTCGATAATCTCTCTCGCCATCAACTGACGTGATACTCTGAAGATGACTACCGCAACGTCAGTCACTGTCAATAACAGTCCTGTTCCGGGACTACGTTCACCCGGACGATCGTCCTCAATCTAGTACTTATGAATTACTCCTGGGTTCAAACCTTTCACAGTTCTCATACAATCTCTTCAGTAACAGAATATCAAAACACCCTTACGAACGAATCTATTGCTTATTACGCCCGCAGACGGAAATGTATAGAGTCTCCTGAGAACAACTAAGGTTAACGGATTCGATTTTCATATACACAATCAAAACATCTATGGCGGTACGCACGTTTGATCTGTTTTGACAAGCCCACCTTTTTCGAAACTGACTGGTTAAAAATGCATGTAAACTAAGTCAGTAATGCCCCAAATTTGAGGCAAGTTGCTTCTTTTCTCCTCATAGACTTTGTTAAGTTGTTAAGATACCTGAAGTGCATTTCCAGCTTGTTTTGCATTGCAGAGACAATAAGATGGCCGATACCAGCGATTAAGTTGTTGAAGTCCGGAGTGATGTAGCCATACTTCTGGCAAGTCTGGGCAGTTTTACACGACAAATAGATCATTTGTTTTCCTGGATCGAGATTTGGAAGCTTCATCAAAAGTTTTGCGACTTGTGCTTCCTTCACTGCCTCCTGCTCGTTAGGTTGAATGAGATCCCACTTGTTACAGACAAACAAAGCACATCCAGTAAATAGGACGAGATCATTCTTCGTGAGTTTCGCTTGGGCACACTGGAGTAGCATTTCTAACTGTTAAAAAACAAAGAATACATTGCTGACTTCCACTGATCACTAGATAAAACTCTTAAGGTATGTTTAGCTAGATTTCTCCCCCTTTCCCTCTCTCTTCTCCTTCGATCAGAATAATAAAAATGTTGGTGTGTAGGTTGCTTCAGGGGTACCCAACGGCAATTTTCGGGAAAATATCTGTTCGGAAGACGATTTGAGAAATAGAATTTTCGGAACATTTGTTGTAAAATTTCTTGCTTGCCTGCCTCTCCTAGGATTTTCGAACATCTACAAAATGGTATAATTACCCATTTTAAACGGATATTTACCCTAAAAAAGGCCACCTAGAATTTCGGGAGCCTTTTTCGGGCTGAGATTTTCGAAAAGGTAAGTTTTGATCCCTATAATTTTCGGATCACTAGACTTTCAGCTAGGAAATCCGAACAGATGAAAAGTTTTTAGGGGATAAAAATATGCCTATATCTACCGTTTAAATACTAAAATACGTTCAACAATGCTATGTTAAGTGGTTTTGAACTATATCCTCGTTGGGTGCCCCTGTTGCTTCTCATGCAATAACGTCCATTATTAAAAACTGAATCATTTGATAATGCAATTCTAGCATTTTGATTGGCTTAGCCGTTATGGTATATGAGCTATTATACCATGCTCTCCATATATGGTCGGTGTACGCGTCAGTTTAAAATTGGAAGCTAGCTGAGATTTTTTTGTCGCGAAGGATAGAACGGCGCCCGAAGCAAATCGTGTTAATTCATTTCTTAGAATACTAGAAATGCAATTTCATCGAAAGAAAAAAGACAAAAACAATCAAAAAAGCCACAAGAGCTTGTTTGAAAGTTTGTCGAAAAACACATGAAAACACATGGAACTAAAGTACCTTGACCAGCTACGAAAGAAGACAAGTGTTGTTTCTTCATGATGTATGACATGTATGACATTTGCAAGACTGTTAATTGAATGAAACCAAAAATATCGTAATAAAGGTGGGTCATCATCAACATTACCTTGTTCCGAGAAGTAAGGCCTAGAAACGAAGGTTATATTTTTCACGCAAATTACACCGATCTCATCCCTAGAGGAGCTGTTGGCTGTTCTTTTCCTATTGAATTAGAGCAGAATAATGTATGCCGATGTCACAAACTCGCTCATGAATCCATAGCAACAGTCTAGCAATTTAGCCTACACCACAGACGAAATTAAACTATGGTTATATAAGTCTGTCTGCGAAACAGTGCCGGAATCCTTATTCTACAGGGGCCCCACCTGTGTACTAGGACTTGAGTATGAGCAATGATTTGCCTGTTAAAAAAGCCATTGTCGATTTGCCTATTTAGAAATTCAAAATGCACGTCCAGTAATTCGTCGAGTCCAGGTAGGATCTGTTCATTTTAGATTATTTAGCATATCCTTGAATACTGCTAAGATGAAATACGTCATTTAAAAGGTGTTAAATGTCCGTGATCTATCCTAGTTGTTTTTGTCGACGTAACTGTAGTGAGCACAAAGTGCTTGCAGTCTAAAAACTTTTTTTACAGAAGACTACTATTTAGACAGGCATTAGTGAGCATTGCTACTTGTCATTATCAATTCACAATAATCAAAGAAGAATAAAGAATCAACGCAATTATTGATATGCCGGGTGAGTTGAGAAAGGGTCGAAGAAGAATAGCCAACAGCATCTTGGGAATGAGGCCAATGTAACTTTGCGCAAAAATATCAACCTTGTTCCCAGGCTACTTTCTCACTTTCACACGATGTTATATTTTTGATGACGTCACCTTTATTAGGAAGATTTTTGGTGTCATTTAATTTACAATCTGCAATCTGTGATCGGCAGTCTGCAGTCTGCAGTCTGCAGTCTGCAGTCTGCGGTCTGCAGTCTGCAAATGTCATACACCGATCGCGAAGCCATTCGCCGATCGAGTCACTCGCCGATAGATAACTGCGGCTTGTTTATCCGACATCAAGAATATAAATCACAACTAAGCAACCAGAAATACAGGCTATGCAGCCATTCACTAGAGCAATCGAGGCGGCAGTAGAGCTTCTTTTCTCGTTCAGCAAAACCAGCTTGTGGCTTCAAACAACTTCATAACAAGCGACCGAGGTAATAGTTTTTCTCCGTTGTTCTTAGTTTTATAACTGTACCGAAAATCCAAATTCACAGTAATTTCGACGGCTGTCACTTAAAAATTCTTTTCCTTCACATTATCTGCCAGGTTTTTTTAGCTGTTCTGCTGTGTAAAATCCTAGAATCCCGATGAGTTTTTAAAAAACTAATGTTCATCGCTACAATGTTTTGATTTTTCATTCATGCAGTCCAGGCGAGTCCGTTCGCGCGTTGACAGTTTTGATATAGGTGACATGTGAATAGCGGAAGTCCCTTGTCTTTTCCGGTTTGTTCTAGTCGGGGAGATTCAACGTGATTTTGTGCGCGTTTTTAATAAAACAATTATTCCACTCGCGCTTGTTGGATATGAGATGATTATAGCCAACTCGGGGCTACGCGACTCGTTGGCCATCTTTATATCATCTCATATCCAACGCGCTCTCGTGGAATAATTGTTAATTACGCAAATTCCAAACACAGACCGCGAAATTTGAATTCTGCTAATTATCCAAAGGGCTTTCGGTCTTTTGTTTCTGCCATTTTACGCATTTTATCGAGTTGAAGTATTAAATCTATCGATTAATGACTGTGATGTGAAGTGCCACTAGATTAAGTCAATAAAGAGATTAACGTATTTTAAAACACTCAAATTCTACTGGCCACTTGAAATTAATAGTTTATGGAGCTAGTAGAGCTGTTAACGACGAGAAGACAGCAGAGCAAGGCGCGTAATGTTTCCAAAGATGGGTTAGCGGTTTCACTGCAATTGGTACATAAACTATTAGTAATTCTCACCCTGTCTTTCTGCACCCCTCCAGCATTATGGGTATTGATGACATACATAAAGCAGAACGCGTTAGACATGTAGTTGACGACAAATTCATCCATCACCTCACTTTCTCCCACTCCAGGACTATCCACTATCATAACGTTCTCCTGAAATAACAGTGACATGAACATCATTAATGGGAGTTAACTTTTAAAAAATGGATGGAATGAGCTTTAAAAAACTCACTACTGACAGCTTTTAGGAATGTTAGTAGTGGACAATCCGTAGAGGTTCATTAATACCTCCATCTTTGATAGTTTCCCCCTTTAGTGAGGCGAGTACGGAACAAGCGAGAAGGGCGACAGGGGGATGATGGGAACTGGCGCGTGCGAGAGGTGAGTAACTCCTTTCGGCCCGCTTTCCTTAGTAATTAACTCAAATATCCTCCATTGGCGAATGGGGACGTGGCAGATTCATTCATTCATCCAATCATTCATTTATTCATTCACTCATTCATCAAAAACCCGTTTCCGTTCGCTACGGGATACCAGACCGGCACGAAAGAACCTATTAGCAGATGTCGGCCAGTATTCTGGACCTTACAACTGGCCCTTGAGGTTGGTTTCGTCGTTGGTTCAATTTAAGACCTCACAGAATATTCACAGAGATGTCATTGAACTGACTGCTAATTGCAAATTAAATTTAAATTGTTAAACCATTCTCTTGAAGCTATATTTTCGTCTGGGTATGGTACATCTGCCAAGGTCAAATAATTTCCGGTGCAAATTTCTATAAAAAAGAAAAACAAACATACAACTTTTCCGTTACCTTAAGCAGAGGGTGTGGCCAAAACAGCTCTATCTTCTTGTACGGTGTCTTGTCTCGATCATTTTTCAAGCTAACAAATCTACTGATCTGAGCTATGTAGTTTTCATCAGGACTTTCATTCAGCTCATGCATTTCTGGGTCACGTGTCTGTGTTCCGTCATCCTTGAAATGCACGTTGATTATTTTTTTCTCTCCATATTTCAGCTCGCAGATGGTAGAAGTTGTACGCAGGAGTGAGAAAGGAAGAACTTCTTCTCCGAGGATCAAATTAATAACGCTACTTTTGCCAGCACTCGTTTCGCCTATTCATCAAAGACAATCCAAAACAAAGAGATATTATTATATCAGGAGCACGTAAAAAATCGTTGAATGTCCTGTTAAACATTTCATCTGATTTACAGCAATCATTGGATGATGCAGGGTATGATCTTAAGAATAGGCGTTAGGGTGTAAGCCTGTTTCTGCAGGCGTTGAGATAGTGAAATGAGGAGAAAAAAAAATAGAGCGAGGAATCAGTGACCATGACCTTAATTACCTCGTTTAAGAAAGCAAACGTTACTGGGGAAGGCGCCGGGCGGAAGAGGACAGGCTAGTCTCCCTTTAGAAAAACCCAAAAAAGCTGCCTCTGAATGGCCTCTTCCCTCTTTGCTTTGATTCCTCAACAACATTGCTCAAGGGGGACTATAAGACGGTCTTCCTTTAAATACTTTTGGTGCAGTCGATACCTCCAAATGTGCCGCAGAGATTACTTCTTGTAAGCGCACGACTACCTCAGTCTCATAAGTACGGTATTGTACTACAATTCTTACCGTATATAAGAATAATTACATACTAAATTGCTTGCAATAAATTTTCTGCTGAAACGTAGTTGTGTTGCATTGGACCTCTTTTCGAAAGAGATCCCCTGTGGTTACAATGATTACCGTAAGGACCAGTAGGCGACCACTAAATATTTGCACCTTGGATGGCCGCTTAAGGAAGGCTCGCCTGCAGAAATTCGTATCTCGCAAAACCTCCCGGATATCAAAAGTTAAAGTGTGTGGTGGGGGAGGCGTTCGGAGCTGAATGGGTGACCAACCGCGAATAGGGCTCTCCACAAGTTGATCGGCAACTTGTTTGGCAACTTCTCGTATTCCTAGCAACTTCTTTCGTTTCGAGCAACTTTTTGCATTCAGTGTCTCGGGTCATTCAACAATTTTATTGGCTCGTTACATTTTTTGGTTTTAATTAAGAACAAAGTTACTTAGCAACGCTGATTAGGCCGCAAAATTACACAAAAAAGCTTAGAAATCTTACTTGTTGTCCAACCAGAGCCATAATGGAAAATTAAACCTGGAGCAACTTGTGGAAATCCCTATAAACCGCGAATATCCTGTCGAGAAGGATCAAAATTTTCGAAGTTCAGTGATTCTCTCAAAAATCTCTGTCTCGAAAGAACAATCATGAACAGTTATTGCTACCTTACTTAACCTTTCCGAAGCCTTTGACTGAAAGTACTATACATTACTGGTTTGAGTTTGAACAAATTTGTTGTTAGTTTGTTCTGTGACGTGTTGGTTTGAACAAATTCATAAATTTGCGGGTAAAATTTACTGCTCTTGGTAAATTTTGAATAATGGGATTTATCATGATCTTACCGGCGACAAGGACAGTATACTCGTTTCTTGGATCTAACTTTGTTATACTTTCGTTTAGGGTTGTTTTGAGGTCTCCAAAGCTTTCCTGGAGGGAGATTTTCAACCCAGGGTCAAGCTTATCCAAAAAGTCTGAAGTCTTTTTGTAAATGTCTTGGAGTTTCTTGCGTTTTCTTTCAGTTGACTTACTAGCGTTGGAGATTACTTGGTAAGGCTAGAAACAAAGAAAATCAAATTCATTAAATCACTGCAATAGATTGTATTTTTTTTCCTTTTTATTGGCTGGCGCAGGGGCGGATCCAGGATTTTTTTTAGGAGGGGGTGCACTCGTCCCTTGCTCTACTTCAACACCAATAAACCGCATAGTTTTTTTTTTGGTAGAATACCAGTTGTATTAGAAAACCGCAGGTCATCTCAGGGGGAGGGGGGTGCGCAACCCCTGCACCCTCCCCCTAGATCCGCCCCTGTTGCGTGAACTTGAAACGATTGCTTCGATTCGCTTACTGAGGGAGTAAAAACTACTCGAAGTAATCCTCTGAAATTCTAAATCTCGGCTAAATCTCGCCCCGTTTTAGTCAAACGTTTCAGTGAAAACTCCAGGCAAGACAGACAGCGTTTATGTAAGGATTATTTTACATACATAGTTTGCAGGTTTCACATTCTGAGAAAACTACACGTACCGTTTGGCAGAAGTAGACTAGATTGGTATCGGTCGGGTATCGGAAAATGTTATCTAAAACGTTCAGAAGACAAAAGACCGAGGATGTGAAGACGATTGCTCTTGACTAACAACTTCGACCAAGAAAAAACAATTTTCAACCTCTGTTAGCAATAATATTGAAGGGACGAGATTTGCATTACAGTTCGCTGAAAATCGTAGAATTTGCCTACCATATAATTATGCAAGGACGATTAGAAAAAAAATATGGCACTAACCTCGCGAACCCTTTTCGTGGCCGACTCCTCTAGAAAGTCTCGTAGTTTACTTTTCATTGCCTCACAACCCGTTAATCCTTTTGTCGGAATTTGTAAGGACTTCATTATTTCGGCAATTTCCCCCACGTCATCCATTTGGTCCAAGTCATCGTCCATCTTTGTAGCAACCACCGTATCTGCGGAAATAACGCGACAGCATGTGATGCATATGCAAAGTTAGTCACGGTCCTCGTAAAGAAGCCCTTTCATTAATTTTAAACGTAAGACACTGGTTTACGGCTAGTAAAAATGTAGAGTGGTGTGCCAATAATGTTTATAAGTTGATACTTTTAAAACAGCCATTTTTTGGGCGGAAAGCTCAAAGATCCATTGATCGGGGGTGCCATATCGTAAACAATTGACTCGCCGTTTCATCGTCTAAGATTGCAGTAGAATAGACCTTATTCACGATACCCGCCGTCTTTGCACATGCTAAAGGACTGATGGGAAGAAAGCAATGTCACGTGGTCCCTCAGGGGGCAAAAAAATGATAGAAGCTGCCAACGCAAGAAATGGCGGTCGAATTTGTTTATGCTATGAACACAAGACGACGATTTAATAGTCTAACAAAAAGTACATTTCGAGTTTCGACAAGATTTACGTCATTATTGTTTGCTGTGAGGACATCTACGGTCGCTACAGCATCCACAGAAGTAACAATGATTACTTCTACCCATAATTTGCTATTATCGTTTTTGTTATGAAAGAAAAAACTAATATGACAGTCCAAGAGTGAGGCCTCGAAAACAAATTCTTCTCAAGCAAAATTTACCCAGTCGCCCACCACCTTAATTTTATCAGGTTAATTCATAGTCTCTCCAACCACTTCGTTGGAGAGACCATGGATAATTGGACACCCCCGAATTGTAATTTTATGAAACGCACGATAGTTCTCGGTGGCAGCCAATTTGCACGTTGCATTTCTCTGTCTAAAAGGGAAGCCAAAATATAAAATCAGGCCGGAATTTTGTGTAAGACAAGTTTACTTTACAAGTAAATCTTGGCGACAAATCTGGTGGCGTGTAAACCAGTCTTTTAAATATACGTCCGAGGTAAACACTATTGTGAGGCTTGTGCTGTATTTTGCCATATAGACCTCGGACAGAATTTGTTCTTTTTTTAACTATTTAAACCTACAATTCTGCAGTTTTTCACAATTTTACAAGACAAATTGCACTCATTCAATATCCAGGACGATCGAAGCACGCGCTTCCTTTGCAGAACAAATTATAGTATTGACCACATTATAAAACGTTTTCATGAAAAAAAATTCCATAATGCCGGGACTTTTCAGTCAGAAAAAGCTGGTCCTATGTGGTTTGCAGGGTAATAATTATGGGCTTTTAGTGAAAACGATAAAAAAATTCCCAAAATCACCTTTTCGGCCAGCCGGACGGGTTTTCACTTTTGACAAGCAACAAATTTGCAGTTCGATCTGTCAAGTGTTTGAATGAACATTAATAGAGTTACCATTTACGCTTCAACACGATAGAGAATTTGTTATGTTTAGGTTTTATTTCCCTTTACTTATAAAACTGTTTACGGTTTTGTTATGTGTAATACGAGTTAATATTTACGCGCGGCATTTTGAGTATACCCCTGCATGCCATGTTTAGCGGTACTGTGTGCGACTGAAAACAACCGACGCAGCAATAAAAATTGCGAGAGGGGTCTGCCACTATTAACAATCAATAAAATATAATTCGGTGAAACATGAACAGAGACAATAATTTTCATTCATCAAGTATTGACAGTAAAGTGTCTCTGAAAATCATGAGTCAGGTAAGCATAAGCTTATTTATGTTTTAAGCCGGCCTCCCGGTGTTTGCAATTTTTCAAGATGAACTCGAAGCAAGAAAATCGCTCAGAGCTTTCTTTATACAGCCAAAATCATAAAAAATTTTCTTCCGAACGTTTTCTTTGTATTTGCGGTCAAAACATTTCTAGAAGCCTTTAAGCAAGGGCGACTTAGTAAGCATGCATTATAAAAGAATTGAACTTGAGCCTGCGATCAACTGAAAAGCGGCAACTTGTCAGTGGATAACTTCAAAAAACACTCGAACTCAGTGTGTCGATACTTGAACCCGCGATACGGTCAGGCGATATTGGTCAGCGGATACACTGCTTTGAAAGCTGTCAGTTGATCAAAACATGAATGTACAATATCAGGTCGCAGGCTCCCAAACATGCTAGAAAGAGTGATATTAAAGATTGGTATGCCTGTGGTGCGGACTGACAGAAGGTCGGATGGTCGGTGTAAGATCACGTGATTGCCTAATTTTCTAGGATGGGTAGATTTTCTAAGCTATGGGGCTCCGCTCAAAATACAGAATTGAGCCTGTGATCAAATAAAATATCAGTAGAAAACTAAAATACGCGACCTCAGTAGGTAGAAAAATGACCCCGCGATACAGTCAGGTGATGATGGTCAGCGGATGCTCTAGTTTGACAGCTGTCAATTAACGTACATTTAGAGTGGCGAATATTCCAATTAACGGACTGTCGACTACGATCGAGTATGTACATTTCAGTCCAGCTTGTAGTGGGGGCGAAATGCGAGATCGAGTACCTGAGCGGACCTGAGCCCACGTTATTAGTTTTCTGATAGTGATGTGCACATGTCCCATTTTGACAGCTGTCAATTGACCTTCAATTACTGGTAGCTGACTGACAGTCCTGCCTGGCGTAGTTTCGTTTTTATTTTGAATTGGTAAATGTGACATATTATATTAGCTTATATGTCGGGGCTAAACGTCTGCTCTTTCATCTGAGCCCGCGAGATGGTCATGTGATAATTGTCGGCGGATGTCTGGTTTTGACAGCTGTCAATCTAATCATACTCATACGGATGGCTTGCATAACTGACAGGCTAGTGTGTGTAAGGGTGGGCGTACGCTTCCTCATAACCCAATTTTCTCGGATGGATAGTTTACCAAATTTTGTTACCCTTGGTGCTCCGCTATTAGGATGAAGTTGAATTGTTTTTTGAAGTTGGAAGTTATATGATCACTTTCTCCAATGAGAAATGACTATTTTCTTTGATACCAAACTGATGAATATATATATTTTTATGAAATGCACTGAATATGCCACAATACTCGATTAATGCTTAATGTTTTTGCATAAAATGCTGGAAAAAAGCCTAATGAGAGAGGGCTGTATTTGCAAGCTATTTGTGAGCCGAAATTACACGATAATTTGGCTAAAGATGTGCTAGCCTTAGAACTAGAGTTCAGTGAAGAGCCTCTCGGCTTTCTTTCGGGCATGGAATACGAAGATCGTTTAAGTAAGCTGATGTGGCCTACACTCGAAACACGTAGATTGTTTCTTTCTTTGGTTGAATGCTATAAGATCGTTTTGGCATGAAGAAACTAAGCTTTGACGATCTTTTTTATTTTACCAAGTGCAATTCAACCCGCGCTAACCATCCGTATAAACTATATGTTAAGCCAGCAAAGTGTAATCTATATAAATATTCTTTTGCTATCCGAATCGTACTAGGCTGTAATAGTCTACCAGGATCTATTGTAGAGGCTGGGAACCTGAGCAGTTTTAAGAGTGCGCTGAAGCGCTTCCTTAATATCCGTTTGTTGTTTGTCTTGTTCATCTACGATTTATTGTAGTTGTTACTGATCATTAGTGATCCAATTTATTTAGTGTAAATAGTTTTTAAATGTCTATTTTATATTCTATATTGTTCACAGCATATATCTGTTTTTATCTTTTTATTTGGGGAAACATCATAGGGTCAACCTCCAGTTCTCCTTTTCAAGATGTTTTATAATTTTTAGTTCATAATCTTGAATAAATACGTTATGTTATGTTGTTATGTTAAGACTTGGAATCACGGAAATGTATCGCGTTGCCAAGCAACTTTAGAGTGAATAGGTCAGATGCACATTACTACTGATTAACTGAGCGTGTAACAAGACATCAAGATACTGAGTAATTTCATAGAAAGAACGCTGTTTTGTAATAGCCAATTAAGATTAAAATAAAGAGTTTGAGTTCCATTTTGCGTCTAAGTTTCTTTTTTAATAACCTATTTTTTTTAGTAAAGCAAGCGAATTCGAAAAAAACAATTTTCCTAGCAAACTCAGCGGTTCAGCTTTTCTTGTTGAATGAGTTAATCAGCCATAGCCGCATAAGTCAGTTGGAACACATGTCCGATAAAACTAGCTATACTTTGACGCTGGACTTTTTCCACCTCATCAATCGATCAATAGTCAACAGAGGTGTAGTGCTCGATTCGACTTGCATGCTTGGAGCAACGTTTTGAAAAATATTGGTGAGTGTAAGACTTTTTTCCGAGCAAACTGAACTTACAAGTATAAAATGCTGAACGGAGAGCGCGTCGTTATTTCGAAAACACAATACATTGTCGACTATCCATCAGGGTTAAAAGAGACCGGGCAAGTCTGGGCAAGTTTAATGTTCCTATTATGAAAGAGTGACGCTCATTAGATATGGAGGAAGGCACTTATTTTAAATATGGAGCAACGCATTTTTTCCCTAGATTTTAATAATAGGTGACGTCATAGACTCGAACTCTATGCATATTAACAAAAGGGAACCCACTCGGAACGCAAAGGGAACGCATAAATACGGTTACGTTTCAACATAGTACTCTACCATCGCAATGCACTACATGCGGTTAATAGATATCATTAGGATGACTTACGAATTTGTAATTCTAGAATTTTTTTTTTCCACAAAGGAGCGAGCTTTTCATGCATAGTTAAAAATCTACAAAATACCTAAAGTTTCAAAGTCATAAATTAAACAATTCGTTTATGTTTCTCTCCCTCCCGTCCCCTACCGTCCCGGGATCAATTCCCCTCCTGCGAGACTTTTCACTCCAACATCCTTCGGGGTATTGAAAATGTTAAATCTTTCTTGGAATATCCCGTTTATATTTTCTTCAATCCAACATTTGTTGCAATCTTTATGCCTTTAAGCTGTAGATCTATTAGCGGAACTCAGGTACTTGTGTTTATTTTTTATTTAAAACTAGTGTAACCGAGCACAACAAAACACAGTTGTTCATAAAATACGACCGTCACTGAGCGGTAGATCGTTTCTTATCGATCGCTGTACATTATCAGGCCTTATCAAATGCTATCACGGCCATAAGAAGTCGGCTCTGATGTACTACTATACACAAGAAAGAGAGACGGTTTCACCTATTTTGTCGGAAGAATGTTAGGTACGCATTTCCAAAGTTATCGCATTGTACTCTTTAATTTAACATGGGTGATAAAACGATTGTCATGATTTCTTGCCCTTTAGAAAAACATACCTTCTACAAATGATGTTTCAAGTTTCTTCCACCTTCATCACTAGCAACGTTGGTCGAGTTTTACAAGCAGCAATCTTCAAAGATCGTTTAATGTACTCTTAGTACGATGATTACTTACTAAAAAGTTCGTAGAATCTTCAATCCAGTATGAGCTGTTGTTCTCCAAACAAAAGCGTGGGTCGCTGCAGTCATGTCGTCGACTGAAGACCCTGTTAGACAGACATATCACGTGACCTTCTACTACTGTTGCTCACAGGTACGGTTGCTAATTATTTTTGCTCAACGAATGTCACTATTATGCTAATTAGCGACCTATTATAATTGCTGCATTGTAATTTGCATAAAACTGCGCTTTTTGCAAGATCGGAGCAAAATCACCCCGTGTAAGGTAATTCGGGTTCCGGAATCCGGGAAATTCTTGCTTTTGGAATTCGGAATCCAAAACTTTAGAATTCAGACTTTAGCTCTACGAATCCAAATTCCTATAAGTATGTACAGGTAATCACATGATTTCGAGTGCAATTTGGAATAAATAAGCACGAGTAAATTTTTTCAAAGGCTGACAAAATTGCACGAGCCCGTAGGGCGAGTGCAATTTGTGGCCTTTGAAAAAATTTACTCGTGCTTATTTATTCCATATTGCACGAGAAAAATCATGTGAATACTTATTAATAATATTCATGAAAAAATTGCGAGATGGCTTTAAAATCACTTTGATAGGGAGTCAACACGCGTAAACAACGTGCAAAAATAAATTATTCAAATACTGCAAATATCATCACACATGCAGTCAAAACAAAATTTTGCTCGATGTTTTTAAGATTTGCAAGCTGCAGAAACGGGCTGAAAAGTTCTTGGAATTGTTCAGTCTGTTTGAATTAAAGATTCTAGTACCTCCGAGTTTTCCGCTCTTCCAGAGAATTTCTTCTTCCTCCTCTGATACTTGCCGAGCTTTGTTTGGGCGCTTACCGCGGCCAGCCAAGCGAAGCTGTTTTGCTTTGTCCTCCAACGGCCTATTTGGACGAACTAAATTCCCGGTCACGTAAAATGGAAAGGGTGCAGCCTTTGTTCTTTAAGTATCTATCAAGCGATTCCATCATTACTTTAAGGCTTTCTGGTCCATGATCTTCACCTTTTTTATTGTTTAATTCGGCGTAGAAATGCTCGAGCAAAGTGTTAAGCTCAGCCGGCTCATAATTTTCTATTTCATCAATAATTTCCTTATCTACGCACCAATTCTTCCAAACAAGAGCCAAAAACCAGTGCTTTTCGCAGTGTCTTCGTGTTTAGAGCAGTTTTCTAGTTCCTCTACAGTTGTTTCCGTCGCAAAAGCAAATGTGCTGCAAAGCCAACCATTGCGGTTTTTGCTAGAAACTGGTCCGGATCCAAATTTTGCGCCATTTAGTTGGCGCATTTGATTGGCTCTCAGAGAGTTCCTTTGTTTATTAAACAATTAGAATGTCACGTTTGTTACTCTTTTCTGCAATAAATTACCTTTTTTCTGCACCGTGTTACCTAAAAACTGCATTTCTCTTAGCCAATCACAATGGATAAATTTTTCATGTATATTATTAGCATGGTAATAGCATGATTTGAAGTGATATTTGGCAGAGATATTACGAGTGATATTTCCAAATTGTTATACCTAATTTCACGAGCCTTCAGGAGAGCGAAATTTGAAATACGTGTATCGCAGAACCTCGCGCAGCTCGGGGGGGAGGCCCATGGAAGCGGGGAGAGAATTGGAGTCAATTGTGTAGCTTGGAAGCTAAGGGCGGGTTTCAACACTGGCTTTAATATTGAAAGGTGAGATGTAGTTAATCTCCTTTTGGTTGGAGTAAATTTGAACCCAGTGCTCAGTCATTATTTAAATGTGGTTGATGTTGTTATAAAGGAAGGGTATAGCCAATGTTTCATAGTGCCCGTGTTCACCCCATTTGATCCTCCTACATGTGTAATTATAGTCAAAAGGAAATGGGTGTGATAGTGAATGACTGCAGGTGAACAGGCAGCTAACCCATGTCATCTTTAATAATAAGTGTAATAATAATCACTTGTGAAGTGTGTCATTAGCAGTGAATGGATGTAATGGCAGTAGGTAAAGCCGCAGTGAAAATAACAAGTAAATGCTAGTAAAAGACATTATTATTCATTCAAAATATTTCCCCGATTCTGATTGGCTAAAAGCACATGCATAATTCAACATAACCAGTTACTGATGACCAAATTTGGAATAATTTTGTGTTTAGCTAGGAAATGACGTCAAAAATGCACCGTTTTTGCAGGTTAATGCACCGTTAACCGAGAAGACTTGGGAACGAGGTTGAGTTGTTTTGGTTGTGGAAACAAAAATGGCGGACATTTCACTCGTTTTAAGAGTAAGACCTAGGTGAAATAATAGCTAAATACGTGGCAAGAACAGCAAGAAGACAACTCGAAGGGCGACATCTGCTATTCGGAGAATATTTGCGGAGCTGAACAACCCTAAACGTGCACTATCGAAGATGAACTTAACATCGATGGATGGATGGAGGTAACCATGTTTTAGCTACGTTTTTAAACTAGGAATTATTTTGAATGAATAATAAAACAATTCAGTATTGAATTCGGCTTTCGCATCGTATGAAGAATTATGGAAATCTCGGAGGGTGCTATCCGCCTCGGCCTACGGCCTCGACGGATAACACCCTCCTCGATCTCCATAATTCTTCACAAGATACTCAGCCTCATTCATTAATTGTTAAATTATTCTTGATATCTGCTGCTTTGCACCCGCTTTAGGATTGATGGGATAAAAGCGATGTCACGTGGTATTTCTTCGTCATCATCATCTTCTTCAGAACTATCCCCTTCTTCTTCATAGCAGTTTTCCTCTAATTCCCATTCGGTGAGCTTTAGAAAAGATTTGACGGACATTCAGAGAATGATATCTCATCTTCGACTCTAGAAGGGTACAAGGAATGAAAGACAAGAGAATGCGCCAATGAAGTGGCAGCAAGGATTGACGATGCACCAGTCCATTCCGAATATGTTAAGTGCTTTGTCTCGGATGAACCAGATGATGGACCTTTATTCAACCAAGAATACTTCAAGGGGTATTTATCAAAGACTGGAGAGGGACAAATGGCCGTTCTAAGTGCTATGGCGCAGCATATATCCAGAGAATTCTTATCTTCCGTGACGCACATTATGAAGGGGTGAGCCGTACAGTAGAATATCTGCATGAAAGGTGATTCTACTAAAAGAAAAAACAAAAGGGAACCCTGTGCAGAATGCAAATTAAATGAATGGATAAGTCCACCAATGAATCGCATTCCACCACCACGGCCAGACGAAACAAAATTGCCACACTACCGTTGCAAAGACGTGTTTGAGTCTCCCAGTGGTACGAATGCCTGCCATCACCCTCCTGATGACTGGCAGCCACGTCATAATATCAAAAAATGTTTTGATGATGGAACTTTACTAGGTGATGACGATGCAATCTCCTCTTTTTGTACAATATTTATTGTGGAAAGGGAAATAATTAAAGACCATTTACAGCATCTAACTACATTAAAGAGGAAAAAAACATGCGCACAAAGGGCAGGTTGAAGAAACGCAAGCAGAGACAACAGAAATGCTTCGAGGACTATGATTGGAACACCCTTTGTCGCACTGGTAAAGTTCAGCAATACATTAAGGAGCTCGAAACGTATCTCAGTCATTCCAACCCTCCATTAAAAGGCAAGAAATATGATAAGGTACGACGGATCACGGCACATGCATTGATCAGAATAGGTGAGGGTGATACCAATGTCTCTCTGCAGCGGCAAGAAGTACTGCAAGATGATATCAGTGACAATGATATGGACAACTGTTCTGATGCGGAAAGTGACAGCTAAGATGATATCGTTACTTCGTATTTTTGTAGCTCTGATTCTAATCCGAAAGCGAGAGTGATTCATGGGAAACTAACAGCGGAAGAGTACCTGTTGTGGCACAGGTCTCTGGCCAAACCCGATCTGGGTGATATTGTGAGGTCGTTCTCACACTATCGTGACTTTTTCTTGTACTAGTTTAGCCATGTAAGTGGACTGTTTGGAAGTGTTCACTGGCTTCTCTATTCGAGTAAAGGAAATTTATACCTTCCCCTCCTATAGCCTCCTTTCTTAGTGACCCCCCTCTTTATTCCTAAATTTTTGGATGCCCCTCCCCCCTTCCCCCTCTTCTTTTTTGCCAGCCCCCCAGGCATAAATAATGAATGGTCCCTAAGATTGTTAAAACTGTGGATAATCTCAAGGTCGTAGTTTTTTTCAGTAAACCAAAACTGTCTTTCTCTCTACTTGTACACTGTTGTAAGCAACCCTCACCCCCCCCCCCCATTTCTGTTGCCCCACCTCAAATACGCTAATTCTTAGATTTGGTTTATTTACACTACAAAAATCATGGGATTAGTTTTTTTCGCATTCAAGTTGCGCTTGTTTCGTGTTAAATTTCAATTTTCTCAAATTTAACCGAAATCTCATTCAAAATGGCTGCGGGAAAAACAAAAAGCATCAATGAAATCGACGACATAGGGAGATGTTTGAGGCGATGGCGGCGCTTGACATTTCTTCGAAAGGGTTGCAAACGCTGCAAGCTATGAAAGATCGAGTAAAAACTACAATAGACCAATTCAATTTCAATTCAATTTTGTTAGTAACACTTTATAAAATATCAACATTATAGCTGGAGTGCAGGACAGGTAAGAATGCTATTCCTCATTTCACTTTGTCATTTGCGCGTTGTACTGTTTGACATGGCCAAAATACTTCGCATCATTCGTTTGCATTGCTCGTATAATTGAGGCTTCAGAATTAACTACGAGTACGAAATCGCTTACGAGTACGACTTAGGAATTTATAGCTTCTTGATTCACTACAGTACTTGTTAGGGATAGTATTGGTGTGATAACTATAAGTGTGTAGCCTGACGAAACGTCACGTGCGGTGCGGAGCTAGGAGTGTATATACCGACTGTTTTCACAGGCATGATTTCTCGTTTTTTTTTTTCATTTTTAGTCCGCGTAATTTAACAAAAGACAAAACAAGACAATACTTTTATTTGGAGTCTGGTAGCTAGTACATAAACGTTGAAATTATTTTAAAATTACAACATACAGTTATATCAATATCAATTATACTATAACGAGTTATGATATTTTATTTTCATATATATTTTTAACCCACCACCCGTCACCCGTCACCCGCTACCCCTCACCCGCCAACCGCTACCCGTCACCCGTCACCCGTCAACCGTCACCCGCCACCCGCCACCCGCCACGCGCGGAAACGTCCTGCCGGGCAAGGGGGAGTGTCATCACGAGTTCACGAACAACAATTCTGCGTTTCAAGAGTTACGAAACAAATATTTACGTTTTCAAGCTTTTCAAAATAGAGGTCGTACAAAATAAAGTTTAAAACGTTACGTTGGTCCCATTTTTCTGTAAAGCAGAGTGCTTCCATTATATTTTAGCAAGTTAACTACAGTTTCTAATACGAACCTTATGAAAAACACTGCGCGGCTATAAATTCCCTAGTGAAGCCAGCTGTAGGTGGGTCTGAGCGCACTGAACTGTGAAGTTACATCAAAAGACTCGAAGTGAAGTTAAGTCAAGCCACCAGATGCTAGTTAACGTCATTTCGCCAAATTAACGTTTTCTTTTCACCGATTGATCTTTAATGTACGTGTAAACAATTGCGGATTTTGGCAGTTCAGGTTTCACGGAGTGCACTTCAATCACGATTCACAGAATCGACACAGAACACTTTTTCAGTACATCACGATGCACGGACACCATAAATGGCCGATCGCAGAGTCAAGCTTGCCCTGCCCCCCTCTAAATATGTTTGTTTGAGTCAAAAGACCGCATAGTTTTAAGTACGGAACCAAGCTTTCCTCGGTTTGGGCAAAATGACACTGATTTATTTGGCACCAGATTGTAAGTGTGTTATGGTTAAGTAAACACTCTGCTTAGCTATGACTGCAAGACCGGTTTCGGAACCAAAATGCTGGATCCTTCGTCAGTTGCTAGTATAGCTGTTAACAAGAGCTCACCAAGAGAGCCGGTGCCGTAAACTAAAACTTGAGTCGGTTGATTTAGCGTAGCATACAGAATCCAGTCAGTGATTGTTTCTTTAGACAGGAAGCTGATTGGATTATTTGTATGATGTTTGTTGTGTGAGGACATCTTGATCCTGTTTTGGCGTTACGGTAATGAGCTATAGTGATCCAATTCGTAAGATTTGCCAAAAATTTTGCTTTATAGGCTAATTTGTCCCATATATGAAAGCGGAAAATTACTCGGTTCGTTATGAGCAATTAAAAAACACTCTGTCTGTTGGGAGTGATGCTTTGACAAAATACTTCATGACAGCCACGTATAATTTCGAAGTGCGAAAATCACTTGGTTATTGTTGAGAGTGAAAAAAATCACTCAGGCTGGAAGGAGTGTTGTTATATGGATAACTTCGAAAATATGTTGTAGAAAGTTCATCAGAAATTGACGTTAGATAAAAATCCGTTGTCTCGTTTAAACAAAGAGATGCCCTCCGGAAAGGACTAACATTTCCGCGGGCAAGTAGTAATTAACTCCGTAGAGCGTTACAATCAAAGTTTTAACAAAGCCTACGTCTAGCTTCCACAGCTTCTACGTTCACAGTATTTAGATCAACTTTCGCGACTAATAGAAGGAGTGGAAATCATCAGCAGTACAAAGTTTATTGGCTCAGTTAGGCAGTAATCAGAATGATATTTTTGACTACAGGTCGAGCGCGGTTCTATAATAAGAGGTGATCATATGCAAATTCCCTTCAAGATGGCAGCAAATCTTTGAAAAGCCTCGAAGAATGAAATTTCTTAGGACAGAAATTTCTTACGATTGCAGTGTCATTGAAGGATATCGAACTAGGACTAGACGGTCGTATGGAAAGCTTTACTTTCATTAAGTTGCAATCGGTATCTGGATGAGAAGTAGATAAGTTTGCAAGCGCGGATCCGACACCGGTTTCCACCGTTGTACGAAAATGGGTCAGAGTTTTCATAGATAAGTATATTTTCATGAAAAAAACTTTCCGAGTTAAAAACTGGCCAATGCCCTGACTGAATGACTCAGAAACCCAGAAAAGGGCTTTGAGGAGCAAAAATCAAAAACATATTTTACAGGGGTGCATGCCTCCGGACCCCCCTTGAAGCTTACGCCTTCGACGCTCGTTTAGGAAAACGGTTTGTATCTATCTTACATCCGCGCCTGGCTTGTTGAGCACAGGGAGCCCACACAATCTCTGTGTGTAGCCGATGGTTATTTTGTAGAAAATGTACTGGATTTACAGTTTGCTTCAACTATAGTGATATATCGCTAAGTATGTATACAAATCAATGTTAAGTAAACATTGAATTTACCTTTACCTGCGATATTTTGTCGTCCTTTAGCCTCAAAAGTGGTGTTTTTGAGCGATTTTGAAGGATTTTGAGTTCGCCATTTACTGTTCTTTACTAAGAAGGAAAAGGGAGGAATCCTTGTTTTGAAAGGGCTCCAGTGCAATTTTTCCCCCAAAATCGCATCGTTCCGCTTTCTCAAACTATGCAGAAAAAAGGTCGAAAGATACACGCTTCTCTTCGTACCTCACGATCGAAAATCCATCCAAAAGGCCCGTAGCTATATAGCCAGCCCTCGAAGAAAATTAAAATCCCACAGTTTTTGAACGGTCAAAATGCGTCGCAAGATTCATACGTGCAAGTGACAAATCGTCCTGCTGATTGCCTCTTTTCTTATTTTTTATTTTATTTTTATTATTAGGAACAGTAAACAGCGAACTCACAATTCTTCAAAATCGCTCTAAAAACCGCTTTTGAGGCAAAAGTGACGACAATATGCCACAGCAGGAGCCCAGGTAAAGTACTTCAACGTTTATTTAACGTTGATTTATAGACATACTTGGCGATATATCTTTATAGGTGAAACAAACGGTAAATCCAGTACATTTACTATAAAATAACAATCGGCGGTTACACACACACACACACACACACACACACACACACACACACACACACACACACACACATTGTGTGGGGTCCCTGTGCAACTACTGAGCGGCGAAGGCGCAAAAACGCGCGTTTTCTCCTCCCTCGCCCGCCTTTTACTTTGCGCACCCAACCAAAACCGCCATGAGTAGTATACTAGGGTCAAACTTAACCGTTTTGGTGGATTCCCTTTGGATTCCCTCGCAAAAAGTGGATTCCCTTTATTAATATGTATAAGTGTCTTCCTGCATACTAATTTGGGTATCCTGCATACTAATTAAGTGTCTTCCTCCATATATAATGAGGTGGATAGGTTTACTAATGAGCGTCACTCTACTACAATAGGAACAATAGGCTTGCCTAGACTTGCCCGGGCTCTTTTAACCCTGATTGGATAGTAAACAATCTATTCTGTCTTCCAAATAAGGCGGGCTCTCCGTTCAACATATTACTCTTGCAATTGCTTTGCTAAGGAAAAAGTCTTACTATCACCAATATTCTTTAAACATTGCTCCAAACATGCAGTCGAATCGAGCTGTAAACTTGTCTGACTATTACAAAACTGTTTTCTCCCATCTATCTCGAGGACATGAAAAACTATTGAAGTCTCAACGTTTCACGCACTGTTAATCAGGTATTTATGCGAGTTCACAAGCCCAAAGTTGAATACAAATTTGCTCTACAGGAAAGACCCAAGGGAGCACCTTGACGTATTATTATAAAACAAATAACTTAACAAGGGTCAATTAAAACACGCGACTAATAATTGCTAGCAATAAAATCTGACACGAGATACCGTTTAAAACAAAAAGAGTCAAATACACAGCTATTTGAAAGA